TGTTACAACCTCATCACACACAAAACTAATGGAATTACAACCTTCTTCCACTTATCATAAGGTAGTGGGACACTCTCAAAGGTCTTAAGTTTTGAAAGGGCATCTTCTCGTTACTTCTTGTGGGACACCATTACCCTTACGGTGCAGAGTACAGAAATGAAATGGACCATGCCCGGAGTTAACATTGCATTGTTTCCTCAAGAAGGTGAGATACTTAAATAAAAACAAGGTTCTTATCACAAGAAAATCATAAAGAATTACTTCCATAACTGTCACTAGCCTATGCTCAGTTCAAAATGTTTTTTCATAATAGTCAAACAATGTAGGTAAATTGATAACATCATGTACAAATTTGGCATAACTGAAACTTTCATAATGCAATATTTTAAGAATATTTAAAGCTAAGAAAATAGAAATCAAGTTTAGAAAAAGGTCTCGATGCTTGACTTATTCTAGTCTTACAATGACTTAAACCACAGATAAGTCAATATGTATATACACAAATCGAAGGATATGAAGCTTCAAAACTTCCAAGGCTTTAAATCTAATTAAAGTTAGACATACTGGATATACAAATGATTTACTTCATCCATAAAAAAAACACCGAAATTCTCTTTAAAATGGAACAGACAAAAAATGTAGAAACTTGTTAAAATTAGGTGACACATAATACAATGTTAATATTGACTTTGAATAAGAGGAATTTTATTCTAGGTTATCATTATACGAAAAACACACTTCATTCGTAACAAATTAAGGAGCAGGGCTGATGTAATATGAAGTATGTATAGTTTCATATCATAATAAAGAGTTGAATATGACAATACTTAATTTCAAAAGAATATTAAAAAACCTCAATATTCACTTTTCTTCCTACAATGTAAAGCACGCTCAAATCTACCAACTTAATTTCAAATTGTGATACTTGTAGTTACATCATCTACAGACTACATTGTCCTCATTATGTACATACAATCTGCAAATAAAAATAATTGCAAGAACCAATGTACATTCTGACATTTCTATTTAGTGAAATATCAATAAATTTTCCTGTCATCCAATTATAGAAGATATTCATTTAATTTCAAACTCTACGTCAAATTTTTATTTAAGTTTTTAGTCTGTGATTACGAATTTATGTTAGAATAC